TTATACACAAGAAAAGTTTATTAAAAGAATCAAAGATTAAACTCTTTTGGTCCTAATTAAAATTAAACTTTTGTGAATTTATTGTTTCCGACACTATATTTCGATAATGACTGTCATAAGATGTGAGATTGGACCGTGCCACAAGGTTAATATGGAATCTCCACATAGGGTAAGACTATTTATCCACGAGTTAATTTAATTCCTAATTATGGTTATTGTAATTAAGTCAATTAATCGACACAAATAAACCTAATCTTGTTATGTGACGCACTGATAATAACTCGCAAACCGTCCTCCCTTTTTTGGCCAGTCTTTGTCTTACAAACTTGATAAAGTGTTAGTAGTAATTAGATATGTTTCATTTGTTTTTTTCTAATTCAGTGTTACAATTATTATTATACTTTGACGGAAAGGTCAGAATTCAATGTTTCATACGACTTTAAATTTTCGGAAAACTATTTTTATTTATTTAAACTTTGGAATGGCAAAAACGAATTAAATAAATGAAGGATATTGACCAAAGAAATATAATAAATGAAGGATAGCGTGAAGGAACATGGACCCTAATTTGGATGAAAGAGTCTTCTATAGGCCAAACAAATGAAACTTTTGGCCTCTAAAATTTCTCAAAGTTGATGCCATATATGGAGTTGAAAAGTAAATATTAACAATAATAAGTAAGTTATATAAATTGTTGACTTCGTCGTTACATAAAGTTTGAGTTATGCTAGTAAGATAGAGATTATCTTTCTGTTTCAAACTATAGTCCAAATATCAAGAGATCAAATTATAGTATGATAATTTATATTTTAGTGAACTTTTGATTACTATTATCTAGTTATACATTTTTTTACTTTTTTATTTTTACTGCATATGAAAGAGGAACGCTCAAAGTTATACCGAAAGAAAATAGTGCCGCATAAATGAAAATGATAAAGTAGATGATTTGAGTATTTGACCACATACTTTCTATTTCCATCCTATGGTCAAGGGAGTATTTTTAAACTTATTTTGAAAATATTTTTCTTGAGCTAATGATCTATTGAAAGCAACTGGGTTTATTGAAAATAATATTTCTACCTACATAAGATAAGGGTAAGGTCAGCATATATCCCACATTTCTCATATTTCACTTGTAGAATCACACTGCGTATGTTGTTGTTGGTCAAGGGAGTATTTAAAGCAAATTATCAACTTCTGCATACTGATACGTGTATGGTTCGAAACTTTTTTTTTCTTTCTAATTTTAAATAATAAAAATGTAACCATTAGGCAAAGTATATTTAAAACCAAAATGAACAAGCTAGAGAAAAGAGAATAAAAAGGAATAGAGAGGTTGAAATGGTAGTATGTGGTTGAAAAGGCTTTTTGATGCATTGCTGGATTTACTAGAGATGAAAGGGGCTGTGGCCCAATTAAAAAGGACCACTGGTTAGACATGTGATTTTCGTACGGCACCGTCAAAGAATGTATTNATATATATATATATATATTTGATTATTATTTTTATGGTAGCTATACAATATTATTTTTCCTATTAAAATTCAACCCGGCCCACCATCTCCTGATCCATTTCATACCAATCCTCTGTGATCTTTAGGTGCCATGACAATTGGCATTATCCCATCTACTCTCTTTAGGAAAAAAAAAAAAAGAGGTTTCAACTTTCACTTTATACCTTTATTTTTCCTCTTTGCTTCTATTGTGACATCAATTCACACTAATTGAAATGTGTTTACACGTTAATTCAACAAACGAAAGCCAATTATACTTTTCTTGTTCGAAGTCAATTGATTTCAATACATGCAATTTAACGACGAATTATCGTTAGTTGGATTAAAAGAGCGTTCATTGATATTCCCAGTCTCAATATGACCTTGCTTGATCACAGGGGGATTAAAATGAACGAGTTCTCGTCCCGTAGTCAAGTCTGATTTCAATCATCGTCTTATGTCTGGCGCAAGATGAATTTAACTTTGGTGATTCACTATTTAAAGACGAGAGAACGCTATCGGCACATAATAGTTTTCATCCAATAGAAAAAATTATGACATTTCACCGCTCACTAATTCTATGCAAATTAACAACTGATCTTGGCTTAGAGAACCTCAAAATGAACGGGCAAACAACCAGAAAAACAAAGTCAATATTTTAATAAAATGAAAATAATTTGTTTAGGTCGGTGTTCTCAAAGTAAAAAATTAAATATAGGATCTTATCCGTTTCTAAAATTTAATGACGAATTGTGCAAACCTTAATAAAGATAATACCCTAACAAGAAAAATTCCTACCAAACTATATATGGATGAGAATAAACACGTAACACATATAAACTGCTTAATTTATACATTAAGTAAAATGACAAAAAATAATAAAAGAGACAGTATGGTTCCCCAATCACACTAAAATTTATCCTCTTCGACTTTTCTTTGTGTTGTTGTATTGATTTGCTTTGGCCTCTCTACCCTGAACCCTCGATTATTTAAAATAATATATGGGTGACAAATAAGGAAAATTATAAACGAATAAATGAGGAAAAATAAAAAGGAAAAGAAAAAAGGGGAAAAAGAGGAAAGAGAAGGGGAAGGACAAAGAGAAAAAAATACATATAAAGAATAAGTTGTTAATTCCCAATTGCCCTTGCAAATTGCCACGATGTAGAGAGGAAGAGGTGGACCCTTTTCACTACACAACCTTTCCTTGCACCTTCTTTGCCTTTAGGTTGAAAGTGACAATTTTTTGCATTTTCAATTTCAAATTTGTATCTAGTAATTTCACTTCTTTTTCTCGTTTTTTTGGTTTTGCACAATTAACTGGAATGTTAAAGGTTCATCTCTTGTAAAATTAGAAATATCGGGTTCAAACCTTAAAAATAGAGTTCTCTTCGTTAGGAAGCACAAAGACCCTCAGTAAGCTTTCAATAGAGCGAAAGCATATTAATCCAATGAGTAAAATTCGAAATGACAAAAATAGTGAGGTTAAATCGATGTTGTAACCTTTTAACTATTGGACCATTCTATTAATGATAATATTTATATTTGTTTCTTTTTGACAAAATTAATAAGGATTCAAAAAAGCTAATTAAACATCAATTATCATGAAATATTTGAATTCTAGCTCCTACGCTGTAATTCGAATTGTGATATTTAAATGTTTGATTGTACTCAAGGGATAATTATTCCTTAACCATGCTAATATAGTCAAACTACTCTATAACAGTCATCCTCTATAACAATTAAGTTTTTTTTTTAAATCAAAATTTCATGTTAAGTTATAATATACATATGTATTCCATAACAACATTTTGCTATAGCGGACAAAATATTTGAAATAAACGTGACTGTTATAAAAAAGTTTGACCGTAAATATCATCATGTTACTTTTCGTAATTCTAAAGAATAAAGAATATCCAAGTCCCAAAACATGGGTAAATTAAGATCAAAAGTTATAGGCGGAAAGTGGATGGGTTTATGGATATAAAAAAGGACCAATAATAAGACCGAGTAGCATAGCATCTTTTCTCACATATCACATTCCCTCTTTGCCTATTACTTCCTCTGCTTCCAATTCAAAGTATCAGAAAAGAAAACTTGCTGACTTAAATTCCTCTTAATCAAACACCTCGTTTTCCACATAAACTTAAATTCCTTTTGCTCCTATTTCTCTTTCCCTCTTAATACTTACAATCAAAAGTGAATCAGAAGCTAAAATAAGAAAGGAAAAGCAGATAAATCTCTTATGGAAAATAATCACCAACCACAAATTAACCCTTCTTCTCAGCTTACAAATCCTTCAAGATTTAAGAGAATATGTGTTTTTTGTGGGAGTAGTCCTGGCAACAAACCTAGTTATCAGCTTGCTGCTATTCAACTTGGCAACCAACTGGTATATTTCCTCTATTCCTCTCTTCTTTTTCATTTTTTATAAGACTGAAGGGCAGCTCGGTGCACAAGGTACTCTGCGTTCGCGTAGGGTAAGGGAAAAGATCGCACATTAAGGGTGTGATGTAGACAGTCTTTCATATTACAAGTTTTAGTAGCTGCTTTCACGACCTATAAGTCACATACATACAACTTTATTATTGCTCACTTTCCGCTCAAACTATTTATACATATAAATATATTTAAAATGTATATATAATAAAATTACACTATTTTGAACGTGAATCTTGAATTCACCTATTTTGTCATCCTTCTACTTTGTGTTTAAACAAACAACAATTTTTCTTGAAATTCATGTGATTTCCCAATATGCATGTAAGAAACTAATTACTAGTAGAATTTATGTACTTGTATTTTCAATTGTACTATTGAATATGAAGAAAATTCATTAACATGGAGAAATCTGAATTTAACTAAAAATGAAGATCAATGGATTATTGTTTCAATAACATAACAAGATTCAGCATCAAAATATGTGTATTTTCTGTACTATAGCTTAAACTTTTAAGCAATTCAGTACTATATAATACAAGTCAATCTCCCCCCTTCTGCTGTTGCTGTTCTTTTTTTTTTTTTTTTTTTTTTTGGGTTTTGCAATTAAGAAATAACGTCGGATTAATTTGGTGTTACAAAATTAAAACAGTTGGTGATGTGTAAGATTAACGTGAAGTAATTATTTTTAAATGGGATTCACGTTGAATTTGGTGGAGTAAGCAATTCAGACAAGTAATGTTTGTTCTAATTAAAAATATATTTAAAAAACACTTGTCTTAATTAAAAATCTAAAATAAATTATAATATTTGACAGGTTGAAAGGAACATCGACTTGGTTTATGGAGGTGGAAGTGTTGGCTTAATGGGTCTAGTCTCTCAAGCTGTTTTTAATGGTGGCCGCCACGTGTTAGGGTACCAAATTTTTTATTTTTATATTTTTTCATCCATTTATTTCTGTTTTGTTTTTATTAAAATTTTCTCCAATAATATAAATCTCCTTTTTTTTTCTTTTTTTTTTTACTTGGCAGGGTAATTCCTAAAACTCTTATGCCAAGAGAGGTAATTTGTCTTTGTACCTGTTATAACAGCAACTATCACTATAGATATTTATGTGCTCCATTTATTGTTGAGTTAGTACATATATTTTGGATATATTAATATATCTGGTACAAATACTTTTTGTACTGTCTTGTTTCTTCTTGACATATCTACCAGTCAAATATTGACCATTCTCATCTACTAGTAGTAGCAAATTGTTTTGGTCAAAATGTCTACGACAATAATCTAATTGGACTTTTTAAAAGGTGACAAGATTAATCTATTTTCAAGTAACGTACCAAATCCGTCCAAGTTTATACGGGTTAGAATATTATTCGTTTATTGGTTTATATCAACAGGTTAAATCTAAATTGACCGATCAAACTGTTAGGTCAAAAAAAAAAAAAATAGTGTACAACCAATTGATAAAAATGCGAGCCTAACATGAAAAATCAACAATAAAGATTGAAAAAATTTAGAAGAATTTTAGCTAATAATTTAAGAAAAAAATATAATAATGGTTTTCNACTGTTAGGTCAAAAAAAAAAAAAAATAGTGTACAACCAATTGATAAAAATGCGAGCCTAACATGAAAAATCAACAATAAAGATTGAAAAAATTTAGAAGAATTTTAGCTAATAATTTAAGAAAAAAATATAATAATGGTTTTCTCATATTTTTCAAAAAATAAAATATAAAAGGAAGGTAGATTAGATCATGTTGAATGAATTGGGTTATGACGGTCTTTGACCTTATTTTCACCCGAGCAAACTTTGGATGAATTAGATCATGATTCTTCTACTGATTTTATCTGCCTCTCGCCCATTTGATGACTCTAAAAATTTTCACACATTAATTATGTAAATTTATATTAGACTAGACTTTCATAATGTGATTTTTAATACTATTTTAGTTTTACAGATTACAGGAGAGAGTGTTGGAGAAGTGAGGGCAGTCTCAGGGATGCACCAAAGAAAAGCAGAAATGGCAAGGCAAGCTGATGCATTTATAGCCTTACCAGGTTAATCCTTTTTTAAAAGAAATTTAATCATTTTACTTAACTATTTATTCTTTCTTAAATCTCGATTTTAAAAAAGTAATTATCTAAGTCTTTAGTTGTTTTCATATCATATCATTTTTTTAACACATATATCAATCAATTACGTAAGTGGACAAACCAAAATGTTCACAAGTATGGAAACAGTCAAAAACAGTCTTGTCAATTACATTTAATAACTAATAATTCAAATCAGTCGCTAATTGGGAAACAGCTAATTCTAATCTAATCTCATCTTAATTTGTTTGCAGGTGGATATGGGACATTGGAGGAACTCTTAGAAGTCATTACTTGGGCTCAATTAGGCATTCATGATAAACCAGTACGATTTCTTGTCTTAATTGTTCCGATAAACTGAATTTATTTCAAAATATTTGTCGTTTTAGGAAGGAAAAAAAGTGATTTGTTAATGGTACATCTTTCGGTTTACTTTAAGTGATTTTTTTTGGTTGTTTTCACACATATTAAAGAATTCGCCTTTTAACATTAATTAACAATATAATTGACCTTTTTAACCTTAATTTGTTCATTAGAAATACAACAAATACTCTTAAAATTAAGGCGATTAAGAGTCCGTTTGGATTAGCTGATTGTAAATAACTGATAAGCTTGTAGTGCTGAAAAGTTTTTTTAAATGCTGAAACTGATTTTTAAAATAAGCATTTACGTGTTTGGATAGAAGTGCTGAAACTGATAATAAGCAGTTGATGTGTTTGATTAAAAAATGCTGATAAGCTATTCTTTTGTTAAAATGACTAAAATAGCCTTGAATCTTTTTCAAAAGATTATAAATTAAAAATTTCTTTGTAAAGAAAAGAATTAATAACGAATATGGAATGAAGAGAAAGTTAAGAAATTTATTTTGGGAAAAGTATTTTGTGAATTAGAAAATATTACTAAGGATAAACTAGTAAAAGTGTTGGTGAAACTAAAAGTGCTTATAAGTTGAAAAGCCATAAGTTGGGGGTGACCGGCTTATGACTTATGGCTGATTTTAGCTTATAAGCACTTTGAGTGTTTACCAAACGCGTAGATAAGCCAAAAGGTGCTTATAAGCCAGTTTGACCAGCTTATAAGCTTAGCCAAACACCCTCTAAATATTGTGTTAAGTCCTTTTAAGGATACTTAAAATTTTAAAAGACAGATAATATGGACCGAATATAGTATTTTCTTCCTAATTGATGTAGGACCATAAGAATTATTCTCTTAAATTTTCTAATTAACTTGTGTTGTACGTAAATGCAGGTGGGTTTACTTAATGTAGATGGTTACTACAATTCATTATTGTCATTTATAGACAAAGCTGTTGATGAAGGTTTCGTCACACCCTCTGCCCGTCACATAATTATTTCTGCCCCGACTGCCCACGAACTCATGTCAAAGCTTGAGGTACTACTCATGATTCATCACGCTTTGGCGTAACGATATTATGTATTCACTGATTTAAAATCTTGAATCAGTATTAATTTGCCTATTTTAACATGTTAAATGGGTTTAATTATGTAGGATTATGTTCCGGAGCATAATGGGGTGGCACCAAAATTAAGTTGGGAAATGGAGCAACAATTAGGCTACACAACAACAAAATTGGAAATTGCTCGTTGATACTTCAAAATTTGGATTAGATAATATTTATAGAGAAGTGTAGTACACTTGAACTCGCAGCACTTTTAACTTGCTGTTAATGATTAGTTTACAGAAATTTTTTTTACATAATTATTTCGTTTAGTGTTGATCCATTTTGTGCATTAGGTTAATCAAAGCCTGATTAAACAGGAAAAGTTGATGTAGTACAAGTAATTGTTTTTCTGTTTGTATATGATTGTTGTTTATGTAGTAATGGATCTTTATCTTGGAACAAACTCTGTTATTTGCACGAGTCATATTTATTTTTATCTCTTGGCCTTCTCCGCAATTGGATTTTACAGTTCACCCACTGTAAAGTTCTGAATTCATTATGTTATATTCGATACGGGACACAAGTTAATCTAGATACCATTATTATTATTTAAAAAAAATAGAAAATTGATGTATACATTAGTACTTGTAAATTTCTTTTTTCAAGTAAAGGTGCATGAGATGAGAACTTCGTGAGAAACATGTACCTCACGATTCATGAGGAACTGTAGATAGTATTCATAATTACAACAATAATAATAATAACAAATCCAATGTAATCTCACAAGTGGGATCTAAGAAGAATAGTGAGTAGGCAATCTTATCCCTACCTTGTGAAGGTAGCGAGGTTGTTTCTGATAGACCTTCCGTTCAGAAAAAACATAATCACAATATTGTTGAAAAGAAAATAATAATGCATAAATCATGAAAAAGAAATAATAACATGAAACAGAACAAATAAGATCCAAAAACTTAGGTAAGAACATCACATGATATCATAGCACAATTTAATAAAGGACTTTGATAAGTTGGGGGAAAAGAAGGAAAACAAAAAGATATTAGAATTAGGAAGTTTCAAAGTCCACTATAGAAAGTAGAAATCAAAGTGGCATAGAATGGTTGGTAGTTGAAGAGAGTGGGGTTAAGGCTATAAATTATATTTCTTCCCAAAATTGGTCTCTTTCATATTACATGTATACTACAAATTTAGGGAGAACAATGTATTTTTGTTGTATCTTAATTTGTGAAATCTCATAGTTTTTGCATAATACTCTCATAACTATTGGATCCTTGTTTTCACTAGGTGGTTATTTCATTTTAGTTTTGCATTCCTAGCTAGTTGCAATTCAGTATCCTAAATTTTCATATAATATACTAACACTATATGTAACTCAGCGATGTGAACTTGATAGTGACCAATCCGAATTAAAACAATTAAGAGAACACCCCTAGTTTTTGAAAACTACACTCTCCCTTTTAACTGACTTCATCCTAATTTTCTTGCTAAACCCGCCTCTGAACAGACAAAGCTGCTTTCATGTGTGTAAGGTTCCTAATGTTCTAACTCGGTCATCCTATTTTTCTGACCCTTTGGTCAAGCCGCTTTGTGTGTTCATTGGATTGGGATCTTCAGATCGGTGTTGAATTGATATTCTCTTTTTCGAAGGTTGCAATAGGTTGATAGTGTGTGTAAAATTAGTCTAGTTATGATGAATAACCGACTCCACCTAATTGGAATTGAGACGTAGTTGATGGATTGATTTTTGCAATTTAGGCGCAGAAAAAAACATGTGCTTGGTTAATTAGGGCAGCTCGGTACATAAAACATTCCACATTCACGCAGCGTCCGTGGAAGGGCCGCACCCTTAGGGATGTGCTTGGTTAACTAGTTTACATTATTAAATAGTTGAACAAGAACAGAATAGAGCAGATGAATCTACCCTTTAACTTGACTAGGCAAGAGACTTGAGTCCCAACTTCCAACAACAAAAGGCAAAAGCAAAACAAAAAGCAAGATAAGGGGTACTATGTTTGCCTTGTGTGAATAACACTTGTGAAAACATAACATAACACAGTGTCCCTTCTCAACTTTTTAACACATGCATATTAATACAGTAGTATACCAAATTAGAAACAAGATAAGATTACAGCAAAACAGTGGACTGCATATGTGGACAGACCTCTCCATTTTGCTACATAGTTAGTATAGTGATTGGAACCCAACATAAGAAAACATTCAACTTCTGCAACTTTCTTTTAAAGCTGTTCTTTTTATTCAATCATGTATACACTTTCAGATTTTGGGATTAGCTTAGCTTCACTGTGGAGTGGCACGTATGTACTATGTTTGCCTCTGGTCAGTTTCACATCAGTTTGAATTGAACTTTCATGAAAGATCAAATCATTTTTCATAAGATGTTTTAAATGGACTGTGTTTGGACAAGAAGACAAGATTAAACGGCAAAAACAAAGTGGTGTCTGAGATTGGTTCTTGTTCTTTCCAATCGAAATCAAAATAAAGCTATACTGATGGCAACAACAACAAACCCAATATAATCCCACAAGTGGGGTCTGGGGAAGGTAGTGTGTACGCAGATCTTACCCCTACCTTGAGGTAGAGAGGTTGTTTCCGATAGACCCCCGACTCAAGGAAAAATGAAAAGGAAGCAGTAGCAACAAGCGGTAGCAACAATAAGATAATAAGAAAACAAGCGGAAATACAAGGCTAACTACTAATACTACTGGTATGGGGAAGACACACACTCGACTACCTACTAAAAAGTGATACTGATGGCCAAACCAGTATTTTGCAAATACAAAAAATACTCAGAACTAGTTCTTCTAAATCCATCATAGGAAATTTCTCATATCTAGCAATTTTGTAGTATGTTTTTGAGCAAACTAATACTACAAAAACTCATATGCCTGTTGAGCGCGTAAATTGAATACTAGTAACATAGAGCAGGTAATGTGTACACACAAACATTAACATACACAGATATATAATGCACCTATATATGTGTTCAAGGAGCTACAAGAAATAAAAAAATTATGTATGCAGCTAGGTTCGGTAGTAAGACAACATGAGGTGGCACACGCGTGAAGGCTATCACCTCATGTGAAAGATTGAACCACAGAGGAAGTGGTAA